ATGCCCAGTTCACGTGTAAAAGCAAAATGTTCGCATTTGGTAATACAAATCAAAATTGGGTTTCGCATATGAGGTTGTATGGATTGGGGTTAAAGATGGAAGGTGATTATGGTTAATATTCATTTCGTACTTGGTGAGACAAACAACTCAAATGCGAATGAACTAAAAAAAAATGACTGAACATGCGAAGAAAGAGGGTGAATGAAAAATGTGAATTTTACAGTAGAATGCGAATTGGAGAAGAAAGCTAGAATTTCGCATTTTTATTATACAAATTGATTGATTGATTGATTTGTCTTAATTGTTAATTGCGATATATGAAATACTTATCAAGTTAGGGCAATATGGTCATTTTGAAGTAAAAGAAGCCTTGGTTTATTAAATGAATCATACGAAGGATCTGTTATTTGATTTTGGAATTGGGGCGAATAATCGAACCATTTGGAGTTGCGAATTTGATTTTGAAAAGCCAATCAGTTGGGTTCGCATATGAAAACAGATAAGTTTTGATTTTGGATTAGCAATTGGGTTAATTGGGTTTATTGATTGAGGGACGATTCGTGAAAAAAATGCGAAGTCAAGAAGGACTGTGAAATGTGATTTGTTCAATATTGGAGTCAAATGCAGTTCACGTGTAAAAGCAAAAATGTTCGCATTTGGTAATACAAATCAAAATTGGGTTTCACATATGAGGTTGTATGGATTGGGGTTAAAGATGCGAAGGTGATTATGGTTAATATTAATTTCGCATTTGGTGAGACAAACAACTCAAATGCCAATGAACTAAAAAAAAATGACTGGAACATGCGAAGAAAAAGGGTGAATGAAGAATGCGAATTTTACAGTAGAATGCGAATTGGGGAAGAAAGCTAAGAATTTCGCATTTTTATTATACAAATTGATTGATTGATTGATTTGTCTTAATTGTTAATTGCGATATATGAAATACTTATCAAGTTAGGGGCAATATGGTCATTTTGAAGTAAAAGAAGCCTTGGTTATTAAATGAATCATACGAAGGATCTGTTATTTGATTTTGGAATTGGGGCGAATAATCGAACGATTTGGAGTTGCGAATTTGATTTTGAAAAGCCAATCAGTTGGGTTCGCATATGAAAACAGATAAGTTTTGATTTTGGATTCGCAATTGGGTTAATTGGGTTATTGATTGAGGGACGATTCGTGAAGAAAAATGCGAAGTCAAGAAGGACTGTGAAATGTGATTTGTTCAATATTGGAGTCAAATGCAGTTCACGTGTAAAAGCAAAAATGTTCGCATTTGGTAATACAAATCAAAATTGGGTTTCGCATATGAGGTTGTATGGATTGGGGTTAAAGATGCGAAGGTGATTATGGTTAATATTAATTTCGCATTTGGTGAGACAAACAACTCAAATGCGAATGAACTAAAAAAAAATGACTGGAACATGCGAAGAAAGAGGGTGAATGAAGAATGTGAATTTTACAGTAGAATGCGAATTGGGGAAGAAAGCTAAGAATTTCGCATTTTTATTATACAAATTGATTGATTGATTGATTTGTCTTAATTGTTAATTGCGATATATGAAATACTTATCAAGTTAGGGGCAATATATTTTATTTGAGTTATAACCAAAATCAACTAACTTGTCCAATTTAAAACAATAAAAGTATCCAAAAATATTCAAAACCAATAATATTTGACATCCTAAATACCCCAAAATAAAAATCATACCAAGCAATTAAAATATCTTTATAACCAAAACAAATGATCAAAATATATTAAATGTGTCTTATAACCGATAGAAACTCACTTTTCAATTTTTGGAATCAAGAGTGGAGTTTCCTCTGCGGTTGACTTTCTTTTAGCCTTAGTTGAACTTAAATCATATCCAGAATCAACATCATAAATTTCTTGGAGGTTGCGCTTCAAATCACCTGATATTTTGCAAGGACTTGTTGCGGTTGACTTATCAACTGTTGAGGGTGTAAAACTTTCGTCTGTTTGTGACATCACATCCTGATTTTAAAAAAATATGTTTGATTCCTAAAAAAATAACTAATATAATTAAAAGTTTATAAAATAAAATGAAAAACCTTTTGAACAGGCTGTACAACATCATCGGATTCCAAAGCAACTTGATTTAAGGAGACAGATTGATTACTCTAAAAAATAAAATGGAAATATGTTAATCGTTATGTACTTTAACATTAAAGAATTGTAAATTTTCAACAATAAAAAATTACATACCATAAGTTCTATTTTACTTTCCAATTCACAAACAATGGACATATCTTCTGTAACTCTGAGAACTGTGTAGATGTTATTATAGTTGTTGACATTGTATTCTGTAATATCTACAACAAAACCAAACTTGCGGTTTTTCAACACATTAAGTTGCATTGGAAATAGGGCATCACTGTCTCCGGCCTGTAAGATATATTTTAATAAATTAAAAAAATTAAGTAAATGTTTTCTGATTTTAAAGGTATGAATAATATACCGCATCATGTATCTTTTTCAACTCGTAGGCACTTATATTTAACAACCTCCTTGCTTCCCTATCAAAAAGAGTCAATCCAATGGTTCCAGTACAATCTTGTACGTTAATTGGAATTATATACCTAAAACAAAAAATAATTATGTCATTGTTAGTGTTGTTTTAAGATTGACAAAATTAATAGAAATAAATATGTCTATACTTTATAACTGACTGAAATTCAGATTTTTTGCATTGTGCATTTGTACACTCGACAACCATAGTTTCTGAAATTCCCTCAGGGTTGGTATACGAATGATTGGTTTGGGAACAGGGATAATTTTTTTTCCACATTTTTTGCATGCTTCATAATACCATGGTAGATTCTGCCTTATATTAACAATGGAAGCAACTAATAAAAACTTCATTTCCTGTATCATATAAAATGTAAAAATTATTAAAATAAATTATGCAAAAATAAAATGTAAAACATATAAAATAATGCAATATACCTTAATTGGTTCGGTGATCTCACAGATTGTTTTTAATGGAAAATTGCCCTTAAAGTCATCTGTATATGAAGAAGAGTAGCTTTGAAGTGTAGTTATGCTTTTTTCAGTTATACCGAAATTGTCATGACATTTCAACCTGTAATGTTTAATTTAGATTCATGAATATTAGGTTTTGTGTTTTTTTAAAGTTAAAATACATTATAAAAAATAAAAAACAATTGGAAACTAACTTATTTTTAAACTCATTTATTTCATAAATGTCAGAATTTATGAACAATTTCGTTACTTCAAAATGACTTTTAGCTTCACCAAGACCTGTAAAAAATGTATATCCAATTATTAAAATTTATATAAAAACAGTAATTATAAACATCTATATATAAAGACTGAATACAAACCATTCCAAATGTTTAGCTTCAAAAACTGCATCACGATAACAACAAAATTAACAGTCGGGTTATTTTTTAGGTATTCTGAAATTTGATATGCTTGACTTCCAAAAATAGTAACCTTCAGATGTACAGAACTAAATAAACCATAAAATAGTATATTAATATTAATTTGTGATTAATTAAAGATAATAAATAATAAATAAATAATACAATATAATCTCACTCTAGGTTGCTAAGAGTGACTTTTATATAATGCTTGGATGGTACTGGATTTGAAGTTTCAAGAGGCCTAAATGACACGATATGTCCAATAACATCTACACAACAGATACCACAAAAAAATAAAAGTTTAGGATTAAATTCGTAATATTTAAATAATAAAATGTATAACCAAAAAAACAAATGATAAAAAATGATTTTATTAATATTTTATGACTAACCAAAGAATGTGTCTTTTGGGCATGTTTGTTCTATGATAGAATTAAAGTCAACAAACATAAATCCATTGACCGGACCTGAGAAATCATCACATTTTTTTAGGATGCTTTTCCAATCCAAAGTTAAGGTCTGTTTATGACCTGTATAACTAAAACCATTAGTAACGAGCCATATTGGGTTTTATAACTATATAACTTTCATCTTCCTTTAAAAGATGACGAAATCTGGAGAAATTCTGATTGAAGACACGAGCTTGGTATTGTGTACCCTGTTTAAAAAAAAAATTAAAAATTATTATGTTCATGAAACATGTCTAATATTGAATGATGAATAAAAAATATATCAAATACAACAAACCTCCTCATCCATGATGATCATTTCAATGGAAGAAACTTTATTATTTCTGACAAAGTTCCAAATTTTAAGCACCCGAACCTTGATATGCGATTTTTCATCTATCTGGTCAATGTTATTTAGGTAAACCTTATTTCCTATTTCCATTTTCTGTAATAAATTTAATCATTATAGAATTGTAAGGAAAATTAGCAACCTTTTAAATTAACAGCAAATCAAAGTAAATGAAACAGCAAAACAAAAAAAAACATATTGTAATAGTTAAAGCTTTGAGGTTGTATGGATTGGGGTTAAAGATGTTCGCATATTGGAGTCAAATGCAGTTCACGTGTAAAAGCAAAAATGTTCGCATTTGGTAATACAAATCAAAATTGGGTTTCGCATATGAGGTTGTATGGATTGGGGTTAAAGATGCGAAGGTGATTATGGTTAATATTCATTTCGTATTTGGTGAGACAAACAACTCAAATGCGAATGAACTAAAAAAAAAATGATTGGAACATGCGAAGAAAGAGGGTGAATGAAGATTGTGAATTTTACAGTAGAATGCGAATTGGGGAAGAAAGCTAAGAATTTCGCATTTTTATTATACAAATTGATTGATTGATTGATTTGTCTTAATTGTTAATTGCGATATATGAAATACTTATCAAGTTAGGGGCAATATGGTCATTTTGAAGTAAAAGAAGCCTTGGTTATTAAATGAATCATACGAAGGATCTGTTATTTGATTTTGGAATTGGGGCGAATAATCGAACAATTTGGAGTTGCGAATTTGATTTTGAAAAGCCAATCAGTTGGGTTCGCATATGAAAACAGATAAGTTTTGATTTTATAGAATAAATTTAATGATCATATTGCCAATCAGTTGGGTTCGCATATGAATTCCATTTTCTGCAATAAATTTAATCATTATAGAATTGTAAGGAAAATTAGCAACCTTTTAAATTAACAGCAAATCAAAGTAAATGAAACAGCAAAACAAAAAAAACATATTGTAATAGTTAAAGCTTTGAAGAACAGTTTTTTTTAAAGAAAATAAAGTTCTCATTTTTATTACTAATTTCGTATTTTGTAATCATTTTCATTAACATTTACGTCTTTTAAACTGAAAAGGTAGAAGAAGAACATGATTAAGAAGAATTAGCAAAAGGAAGAAGAAGAACATTACTAATAAAATGAAAAATGATAGAAACTGTTAAATCAGACAATTAAGAGGTTAGAAATATTAGTAATGCTGATATTTTAATACACTAACCTGATATTATAATTTTTGAAGCGTTGCAGAATCAAGAAGAATGAAGAAGAATACGTTTGCAAATATTACTATGGAGCAGAATTCGTCTGGAGCAGAATGGTAAAAAGAAAATAATCGTATGAATGCTATTTACGTTTGAATAAATAAGAATAAGAATTAAGAAGATTACGTTTGAAAAAGAATAATATTGCAGATTTTTAGGGATTTAATTTGCAATCAAAATAAACAAACTTTCAAAATTAATGCGTGTTTTTCGAATCTGAAGATTGATTAACATATTTGTTTGCAGATTTTTCCGGAATTATTGAATTTGGATTGTATGGCATTTACGTAAATATAGATGAATAAAATGAGCGGGAAAACTCTATTTTGTAGGTCTTATAGATTGACACGTGACAGAGTTCTACTTATTTATTAGAATTAGGATTATTATTATTATTATTATTATTATTATTATTATTATTATTATTATTTTAAAAAAGATTGACGAAATGACCTATTTTTGCAAAAATCTGAACAGTTCGAACACATAAAAATGCAACTAGATTTGATTTGATGAATAAATCTAACAAAGTAACAAGCGTCGGGTGCAATCTCTCAAATATATTTGTTTAAATGAACAGTCCCTATACAAATTGCAAGTGTTCAAGCTTTAGTAACTATTTTATCAACATTAAAACTAGCAGGACGAAAACACAAGTTTTGATAAGCTTAGAAAACTTTACATATGCACCCACAAGTTAACAATGTGCTTTGGGAATTCTGTGAGAATTCTTATGACATGGGGCACAAGATAATTTGTTCTAAACTCCAAGGTCCATCATGAAATTTACTCAAGAAGATAATGCCACGTAATCAAAATACAAGGTCCAGGTTGGATTAACGGGCAGCAACATGTACCTGCCCGTAATTCACTCATCATCATGCAGTACCAAGAGTTTTCCTCACACCATATCCTAAAACCATGAACACCATTACAAACCCCACAACCCACTTCCACCCCCAAATCACCACCTCCCACCGCCGCCACCGCCACCCACTCCCACCTATAAAAGCCACATTCTCTGGTGAAGAAACCCAAACCCACCGCCGGAAATTCATCATAACCACCTCCATTTCACTACTTGCATTAAACAACCTTAATGTCCAGGTAGCATCAGCCGAGAGCTGGGGCACAAGATCGTTCATAAAGGAACGATTTTTTGAGCCGGGGTTGTCGCCGGAGGATGCGGTGGCTCGAATCCGGCAGACGAGGGAGGGACTGCACAGCATTAGGAACATGTTGGAGACTATGTCGTGGAGGTATGTGCTGTTTTATATAAGATTAAAAGCAGCTTATTTAAATCAGGACTTGAAGAATGCGATGTCGATAGTACCAGAACCCAGAAAAAGTTCCTACGTTAAAGCTGCTAATGAGCTGGTCAATAACATGTCTGAGGTATCTTCACTTGCTCCATTACTTGTCTAATTTAACTTTTTTCTCAAAAAATATAACATTTTTTTTTATCTGTAATCTATATTGCAGTTTGATACTTATATTCGGTCACCAAAGGTGTACGAATCTTACTTATACTACGAGAGGACATTGAAGTCAATTGACAATCTTGTTGCTATACTAGCATAGTGAATTGCATGCGTTTGGTTTTGTTTATATGATGTAAAAGTGAACATATAAGTAATAGAAAGTTCAAACTTTGTTATATTTCATTCAAATATTTCACACAAACAAACACAAGGTGAAAACACACATAGTAATTGTAGCTCAAAAGGAACAATTTAGTTTCAAATGTCAAATCAAATTAACATTAGAGCACCACACGTTTTGCATGTCGAGATAGCGCGATGGCACCGAGCAAGATTATCAGGATAAACACAACCACTGCTCCGAATGATCCGATGAGCGAACCAGATGCGCCTTGACAAAAGTCCCCATATTGTTGACACACCGGCAACCAATTTGTTGAAGTGTTTCCATTGTGAGCCAAATACACGATTGAGGCTGCAGCCGATGCGCCCGCAGTGAGAAGAGCTAGCATGACCTTCAAAATCAAATTTACACCATTAACAATCGATCACTATTACATGTCTTTGCTCCTCGATTAAGAAACATAAAGTTATAGGATAAATATTATAGTTTAAATTACGTGTCATTCTACCATTACATCGGTCTAGTATGTAAGGGTAGGATGAAATATAAATGATGTGTAGTATAGTTATAGCGTAATGAGCTATAATGATATAATATTGAAAAATTATTGTGTCTTTGTTATGTTTAGGTTCTGATTGATCAAAACCTAAACACTTATGCACTATATTAGTGTCTTGTTACCGTGTCCATGATGATCAAGAGAATCCTGCTTCCTCTTGCCGCACTCCTCATGATGTGGACGATGGATAACGGGAGGGTGAGAACGAAATATGCACATACTATCGCGTTCACAATCACAAACAATCTAAATGACCGAAAATCATCGTATTCTGCATTGAAAACCACAAACCGAGTGAAGAAAGGTAGGGTTTGTTCATTGGTTCCCATGGCAATTGCAGCACCTAAAGTACCCGCAATGCCAACCAAGCGCAAAACAAGATCCATCACCGAAACCCCTTTGTTTGATCCAACGGGCACCAAGACCTTAGAGGCATCGCCTTCTTCCAATCGTACGGATTTTGTCATTTTTTGGTTTTGGGGACTTTTTAACAATTGGAAAGGCTAAAGAGTTGGAGGGAAAGAAGTTGTGTAAAGTGGTGTTGAAATAGTTTGAGACAAAATGAAAGAGAAATGTGTGTATTTATATAACAGAAACATAGTTGAGTTGGTATAGAAATGGATGTGTTAGTTGTCAATGAGGGTTTCTTTTTGGCTTTGGTCACTGCCCTTTAACCTGCTCAACTTTGAGTACCAACTTCCTACTCCATCAATCATCAATTCTTGAACTTTTTGCTGGATTTTCAAGAATTCCATTATAAACTTTATAAAAAATTTTATCCATTGATCTGATTTTCGATTAAAAATGATTTTATTTATACAAAAATTATATAATGTTAAGTGCAAATTAATTGGCACACAGTACTATATATTTTACTGGAAAGAAACGATGAATAGAAGAGAACTTAATCAAATAGATAAATTTCAATGGAAGAAATTATGAAACATTTATGTTCAACTCTTTCACTTTATCGGTTCATTATATATTCATAAAATCTTGCGCTTTAAGTTTTATCTCATTCTATATTTCATTTAAGGCAAATAATAGAAAACCAGTATATTTTATCATGTTTTTCAATTTCGCCACCCAATTTTTTACATCCGACCAAATCCAGCACCGATCATGAATCATCTCCTCCCATCGTCGACCACCTCCCCCGACCTCCTCCTATCGTTGACCTTGCACAACATAGTCGCCCTCGTCTTTGACCTCACACATACACATGAGTTTCCGACAGCTTCGAATATCCACTCCTACCACCATGGTCAGAACGCCGACACCAATCGTTGAAAACGCCACTGTTGACAATGTTGGTCTTCGCCCTGGAAAGCACCAACAACCTCCATTGAACCGCCATGACGCACCAGGTTTGTTTTTCCCTAATTTTCTAAAATCGATTTCTGTAAAGTTTTTCGTAAAGTCTACACATGAAATCGTTTTTCCCTAATTTGTTGTTAGCTTTGATACATGATTTTGAAGACTGGTTGGTTGCTAGGGTTGTTAAACAACATTTAATTATGTTGCACAAACATCCAAAAGGATAAAAAAGGATAACTGGTCATGAATTGAAGTCATCTGATGATAACCATCATCACCATCATCATGGCCATGATTGTAAAGATGATTTGAATGAAGGATATGATGGGAATAACAAACACCAGAATGGAATTGAGGTGAATAGATGCTTTTAGTTTGAATGCTTTTTAGTTCTTATCCTACTTTCTAACTCAAACTCTTGACTGTAGTTCAATTTATGTTAAGTTGTTGATTAAATTTGTATGTATCTTCTTATTTCAGATTATAATTTTTAGGTAATTGAGCAATCTCATATATTATGATTTCAAATTATCATATTTTAGCTATTTGTGAATTTGCTTTTTTTGGATTTTAGTATGATGTCGTGGAATCTGTTGTCGATCTTGGTGATTTTGTTGATTTTTGTTTTCGATCTTGGTTGTTTAATTTACATTGTACTTTTTGTAATATTGGGTGTAATGTTTATATTTAGCATCCTACTTTGATGATAAAAAATATTTCATATGTATGATATTCATTTCTAACATCCTACTTTGATAGAACTTTTTTCCCAAACGTATGACGTTGCAACCGAAAGAAATGATACATAATGGTAAAGTGGTCATTTTTATCATTCAACACAACAATTCAAATGTTCCAACCAAACAACATGTTAAAATTAAGATCTTAAAAATTTTAGCCTTCTTAAAAATTTAATCCACTTAAAAATTTAGATCTTAAAAATCTGGATCCTATCAAACTGGCCCTAAGATATAAACTAGGATCAGTGTTGTCAATAGCGACCATAGCGATTGCTATAGCGGATAGCGAGGCGAGGCGATGCAGTGTCGCTATGGGGTTCATAGCGACATAGCGACCTATTTAATTTTTAATTTTTTTTATTTTTTAAATATAGTATAAATAGAACTGTTTTAGGGTTTTTAGTTCACTAAGTCAAAGAGAGCATCGGATATCTAAAACTAACACTTGTTTTTTTGTAATATGCATGTTTTAGAACTTAATTGAACTAATAGTCTTGGTTTTAGCTTATTTATTAGTTATAATTTCTAATTAGGAGAAGGTAAAAATAGTATTAATTTCTTAATAGGCATTTGCTAAAATGAAATAGCCATCGCTATTTCATCGCTATCGCCACATAGCATATAGGTAGGTTGTCGCTATTACCTCGCTATCGCTATCGATAACACCGACTAAGATTCATATGATTCATAACCACATTAGGAAGAAATCTAAAATTTGAATCTTTATCTGTTACTTATCAAACGATGAAGGTGGTGATTTCAAGCTGGAGCACAAGAGGGATGTGTGGTGGGTTTGCTATGGTTGGTTGGTGGTGTGCGATGCCAACGAGAGCTGCTAACCGGTAGTGAGCAAGTGAGGATTAAGGAGTGATGGATGAGGACTTTCGAGTATGGAAGCCTCCAACACTCTTGTCTCATATCAAGTCTTTCTGCTTTGTTTTGGATTAGGGTACACTATACATAATAACTCACTAAGTCCTTACATTTCATAAATAATTTTTTAAAATACAATATATATATATATATATATATATATATATATATATATATATATATATATATATATATATGGGTTGACCCACGAATCCAAATACACAACCCGAACCTAACCTATGAAA